ATTACATAATTTCCTAATTTTCCGAAAAAGTTTGAAAAAAAATTACACATCAAAAAACTGTCCATGCTTCTTACTACATACCTTTGTCTACTTTCCAAAAAGGGGTAGTTTGGGGGGTATTTGTGCTGTCATGGCATTTTAGGCGCTATGAGATATGCAGTCAGTACATCAGAATTGATCAGTTTTCAAATATATATACCATAGTTTATAGACTGTATAACTTTCACGCAGACTAAGTAATATACACTGATTTCAGTTATTTTTACCAAAGAAATGTAGAAGAATACATTTTGGCCTAAATTTATGAAGAAAGATTATTTATTTGCAAAAATGTTATTACAGGAACAAAGAAAATGTGTTTTTTCAGAATTTTTGGGGTATTTTTTTCTTTGTTTGTATAGCAAAAAAATAAACAATCCAGTGGTGATTAGGGATGGGCTTGAAGTTTGGATCGAACATACATTCGACTCAAACATCAGCCGTTTGTGTGTTCACTGAGTGCCCCACAATGCACTGTGCTCTCACAGTGCATTGTGAGAGCCATGATTGGCCAAAGCAATGCACCTAACCACAGGTCATGTGCAATGCTTTGGCCAATCACAGCACGATTGGGCGGAGCTAGCGGTGATGTCTCTGCTAGCTCCATCCATTTTTTGAAAAACTGTTGGGGTTTTTTGTTGTTCAATTAAAGGAATTTCTCAAAAGTCTGGCATCTTTATATTTTCTAAATGTAACCCTTTATGGAATAGGTAGGGGTAGAATTACCCCCTACTCATTCATGGGGGGGTTAGCATCAGAGTGCTCCCTTATTTAAAGGGGTACCCTGATGCTAATGAGCTCCCCTGCCTGCAGACCTGCACAACCACAGAGCCAAGGATGTAGGGAAGAGGATCTTGTCCCTACACCATCCCATGCCGAGGGCACATGGCCTGGTAAGCCTGGGGGGGGGGGGGGGGGGTGCTATGGGGAGGTGCTAGTCCTGTGCTCAAATCAAGGGTCTGGCAGGAATTTAGGGGTGACCCCATGCTTTTTTCCCCAATTGTTCGGGGGTGGGTTCCCTTTAAATGGCCTGATATGACTTTTAGGGGGAACCCCACACACTTTTTAAAAAAATATTTTTTACTGTTTTTTGTTTTTTTTAAATAAAAATGGGACCCCCAAGCATGATATTTAAAGGAATTTTTCTTTTTCTTTTTTTTTACTTTAAAGCGGAGTTCCACTCAAAAGCACAAGCTCCACTTACTTGCCTCCAACCCCCATATTTGGCACCTTTTGGGGGGGCGAGCAGATACCCAATTTTGACAGTTTGCTGCGGCAAAGTGAGACGGACGTTCAGCCCCCTCTTCCTTTCCGCAGTCTCCTGGAAACTTTCACAGGTCGCAGGAGACTGCCGGACCAATTAGAAGGCACATGCGCAGTGGGCACCAGGCTGTGAAGTCACAAGCTGTCACAGCCCGGTGCCCACAGTTGAGATGCTGGCGCTGTGGATGAAAGCAGGGAAGAAGGGACCACACAGGTGAGAACATTGCAGGACTCTGAGACAGGTAAGTGTATGTTTATTAAAAGTCAGCAGCTACAGTTTTTGTAGCTGCTGACTTTTATTAAACACAAAGACAGCTGGAACTTCGCTTTAAGCAATGAAAAATGACTGCCTCTTTAAAAACAGTACTTTTTGAAATTTTTCCCCATACCCCTTTCATGGTCAATAACTTGCATATAAGCCTTCAAAATGGGCACTTTTAAATTTTTCAAGTTGGAGTCTCATAGACGTGAATTGAGTTCAATGTTCGCGGTCGAACATTCATTAGGTTTGAACATTTGACCGTGAACCAAACACAGGGGTGTTCGGCCCATCACTGGTGGTGATTAAATACCACCAAAAGAAAGCACTGTCTCAAAAAATTGCATTTCTGTAATTGTCAAAGTGTGAATGTGTGAAAACTTAAAATTGGCCTGAGCATGAAGAGGGTAAAAGTGTCCGGTATTGAGGTGGTTAAAGGCAAAGGCAGTATTGTTTTAACTACTTCCTGACCACAATATGTAATTTTATGTAAGCGGCCCGGATGCTTATACTGGACTGATGCCTGCAGCTGGTATTTTTTATTTTCAGCTGACAATTCTCTATATTGTAAAAGCAATTTGAGCAGCTAATTAGCTGCTGGATCGCTTTTACATGCCGTAGGAAGGGTCGTTCCCTGCCATCTTCCAGTGCCTCTTCGGACTCTTCGTCCCTCCAGAGAACCTGAAACTGAAGCTGGCACTTCCGCTGGCTTACCATAGAGCTCATCAAAGACCGGTACATCCCTGAACATCTCTATGATATAGGAAACCGGAAATGACGGGTATTTTGTCACTTCCGGTTTCAACAGCTGTCAACAAAGCCAGTTTTGGCTTTGGAAAACATCAGATCACATCCATCTTGGTCTGAACTGATGCTGTTAAGGCCATAGGAGACATCTGCGGTCTAATAGACTCCAGATGTCTCAGTAAAGAGGATCTGTCACTGCCTATTGTTATCACAAGAGATATTTACATTCCTTGTGATAACAATAAAAGTGATACAAAATTAAAGAGACAGTATAAGATAAATAAATAAATCCGTTTTAAAGCAGCCACATCCCACCGTGCAGTAAACGTATAAGTATGTATTAGATATTATATTTTGTTTTTGTGCATTAAAATTCATTAAAGTGTATTTTTTTCCCAAAAATTGCGCATATATCGTGTGACATAAAATATTGCAAAACCTACCATTTTATTCTCTAGGACCTCTGTTTAAAAAATATATATTTGGGGGTTCTAAGTAATTTCACTGCAAAAAATACTGTAAACAAAAAAAGAATTGGCCTGATCTTTAAGTTGTTTGTTGTGTTTGAGGTGTTTGTTTTGTTTATGCAGTTATGTAGATTGGTAATTGATAAAGCCTAAACCTTTGTACAGTACTATGGAAAACATATCCAATAGGATTACCCAGAATTCTGAAATAAATTATATTCTAATTTGGATTAGTAGTAATTCTTCATTGTTTTGTTTCTTCTTAAAACTCCTGGGTATACAGGGTGCATGCATTCTATCTTTTGAGTTCCTCATTTTTATTGCTTAATAAGCAGATTTAGTTCCACAATATGTTTATTTAAAATTGTACAAAAAAAAATATACTGACTCCAACTGAATTTCTGTATGTATATATATTTATATTACAGGAATTATTTATGTATGAGAGAACTAGATGATATGGTTTGTAAAGTAGCTTTAAATTTCTACTTGTAATCATCTTTTACTTTAAAGCATGCTAAAGTGACATTTCATAGCGGCATTTGCAAAAAATTTACAATGTACAGATGGAGACAGCATGGATTATTGTGATTACATTTATTATATTGCATATTAGGCCCTCATTCACATTAGTTTGGAGTGCCATTCACCCTGACTGGCACCCCAATTGCAGCTTGATTTTGCCATGATTGTGGCATGACAGAATTCGGAAGAATTGTAGCAAACAGCACATATAAAATCGCACCTTGTTGAGGGTCACGCATAGGGCAGCCTACTTAAGTGAATGGACTGTTCTAAGCGTCACATGCGAAAACACGTGTGAATTGCACTTTTTAAATCACTAGCAGAAATCCACATATGGGCAGCACAGTGGCTAAGTGGTTAGCACTTCCACCTGGCAGTACTAGGGTAGTTGGTTCGAATCCCAGCCACAACACCTCCTGTCTGGAGTTTGCATGTTCTCCCTGTGCCTGTGTGGGTTTCCTCCGACACTCCAAAGACATGCTGGTAGGTGAATTGGCTCCTGTCTAAATTGTCCCTAGTATGTGTATGTATGAATGTAAGTTAAGGACCTTAGATTGTACACCCCTTGAGGGTTAGGGACTGATGTGAATGTACAATATATATATGTAAAGCGCTGCGTAAATTGACAGCACTGTGTAAGTACCTGAAATAAGTAATAAATAAATATCCGCTAATCTATATGTGAATGGGATCGTAAAAAAAGAGCATTAATCACCGACTAAAAACACTGTATTAGCGTTGTCCATGCTTGTAGCTGGAGCTTCTGTTTTTTTTATAGTATCCCTGTAGATACACTGGCTTTCTGCTGATTGCAAAGCTACATCTCCCATGATTCCTTGCAGTGCTCCTATTCACTGTACTGCTATTGTGTCTGAGCCAAAGGGAAAGAACACACCCCTGGGCACCCTTTAGATGTGTATGCTCCAGGGGGAGAGCTGGCCATTGAATGGTGTTAGATTTTAGCGATGCAGTCTGGCAACCAGTTTAATCACACTTTATCAAACCAGCTTTTGGAGCAGTAATCAAGCAGCTGATCAGCACAGCTAAGCCTGCATCACCCAGAGGCCAGCAGGGAGTAACATTCTTGTTTAAAGGGATGTGGTTTTTTTCACTTGTTTTCACCATTTACACCATTTAATCTCTGATCTCAGTGCATCTGAATGGGTGGCTACGAAGGAAGGTTTTCAGAGAGCAAAGGGAATTGCACATATAGGCACTCAATGACCCCTGGGTCATTGAATCAAGAAGACTGAGGACATTCTGTGAGTGCATGGACCAGCCCCCCACAGGGGCATCCTGTCCATTGGCCTTTACTCACAAATAGTAGTGCAATGGTGATGCTAGTGCCTGTCTGCCAGTATTAAATCTGAAAAGATCCTTGTCCAAGTTGCCAGCCTGAAAAAGTAAGTATGTTAAAAAAAAAAGGAAAAACAAAAAAGCACAGAGGCCTCCAAGGTTATTAGCTGCATGATTTAATAGAGTAACATAAAGTATGATCTGTAGTAGGGTCATCATACATAAGGTACATTTGAATTTTCACTAAACGATTTGTATATTTGTTGAACATTGTTAGAAAAACATTCAAAATGATGTTTTCTGAATTTCTTATACTACTGGCAGGGAAAACTTTAATGCATAATTGGATCTAAGATTTTCTATGACTTGTACTATTAACTCTCTATAAATGTTTAACTTTTCAGATTTGGATCACTTTTGCCCCAGTTGCCGATTTAACTGCAAGCTACTTTAAATGCTCCCTGGACACTGTTAATTACCTTTCCCTTGTCTACCTCATTGTATCAATACCTATTGGTTTTTTTTTCGCTTCATGGCTTCTGGACACTCTGGGATTAAAATATGCTGTAAGTTTTTGATCTCTAATAACAATGCATGCATTTTCACATTTCATTTCTCAGAAAACTAGTTGTTTAAGTGTGGGTTTTATTATCTCTATCATGGCCTATAACAACTAGAGTATATAGGTTCAGAGGCTAGACATAGACATGTGATGGTATAACTAAGTGTGTCCATGTCACAATACTACCAATAGGTAATATGGGCTCTCTCAAGGTGTAGAATGTACAGAGCATACAGTCTTCAGTAAGGTCATTCACAAGGAAGTATGGATTTAGCTTCATTATGCTTCAGAGTTGTGGCCCTTTTTGCTTTTTTTTATTTACCAATGAGCTGTGGGCCAGGTCATTCACTACCCCATAGCTAATATGAGCTGTCGGACAAGGAATGACCTGGTTTGCAGCAATCTGGAGTAGAAAAAAAATTGGGAGGTTGGAGTTCAGGTTATAGATGAGTTCAGGGGACACCTCTAGTCCTCGGCAAAAAAAAAAGGGCAGTGTTTACCCGTTTGTGTGCTCTGCCCTGTCATATTCAGAATGGGAAGCACATCTCTACTGAAGACTATCGATCAGATTGGCAGGGAATTCTGTTCTTGAAACAAACGTGTTTGACCATTCAGTGCAGAGCAACAGGTTTGCTTTAATCACCCAGGTTTGCTTTAATGCTGGCCGATTAGTGCTGTCATAGCAGAGTCTATAGCCTGTGTGTAAACTACCTGTTATTACCTTTATTAGCCAGGAAGCCCTTTTTTGTGCCCCCCCCCCCCTCTTATTTAGTTTAATTTTTTTACTGAGGCCTAAAATTCCCCTTAATTTCCTGACTAAGTTCCAATAGTTGCCACTCCACTCTCCAATAAAAGTGATTAAATAGTAGAATGGCAGCAGGGCCTTGCAGGTGCAAGGATTTTTGTCTACACAGGTGAAGGTGGATTTTAACGTGGTGTGCAGTCCGCATTTGTGTGGGCACGGTAGCCCATTCATTTGAACGGACTTCTGTGCCCTTGCATCCCATAGCAAAAATGTGCTGGTTATGATGCATGGGGATGCCATTAAGAGTGAATGTCAGCCCCGCGCATCTCTTAAGAGCAGCACAATTTGGCTGGGGGGTGGTTGCAGGTGCAGGAACAGGTCTGATTCCTGCACCTGCAACCGCCCGCAGTAGTATACACCAGGCATCCATGGAGATTTTCTACGACTTTCTGTTTTGTCTACAGAACAGAAACTCCGTAGCTATAAATAAGGAGCATTACTCCCCTCTTGTGTAGGTCAGGCTGTACTAAAGTCTGTACAGTAGCTACAGTTTTATAAGAATGTTGGATAATGAGATGTTAATTAACATGTAACAGCACTGTGTGTAGACAGTACCCTAGGCTGCAGACATTTTTTACCTGAAAATGGTGATTCAAACATCAAAAAACTGCTGACAGAACTTCAAACATTCCTCCCTCTATTAAGAAACATGTTTTTATTGCTACGTGCCTCCCCATAGGAGGGAATTTTCCCTTCTGTTCACTGTGTCTGAAACCAGCCAAGTAGATAGGAAGTGGGAAGACTTTCCCTCACTATCTGCTCTGTCTGGCACCAATCAAATAGATAAACAAGTAAGAAATCTTCTAAAGGGGTCATAAAAAGCAATAAAAGGTGATTGAGGTTCTACACTCCCTCACTCCACTCAAGTTTTGTTTTTAACAATATAACAAAAATTTGTGTTTTTTAATTATCTTTTAATGAATAAATGTATTAATATAGTTATGACAAAAACAATCAAAAAACAAACTGTAGCCATAAATAATTTTTAAACTCGTGTTTGGAGGAACTCTATCAGGACATGTGTGACCTCTACAGTACCTGAGAACTTATATTATTCATCTATTTCTTGATGTTTTTAGCAAATAGTAGATCACTGTAAGCTCAAAAGAGCAGGGCCCTCGAACCCCTCGTGTATCACATTGTATTGTTTTCGTACTGTCGCATGTTCTGTCTCCCTTTGTAATGTACAGCGCTGAGCGAACTGCTGGTGCTTTATAAATACTGTATAATAATAATAATATTGCAGCGATATGCTGACACCTGGGGAAAAATAGATAGAACTGGATCAGCTCTGACCTGCTCCAGATCAGTGGCAATTCAAAATTTCACATGTAACCAGAACCAGAGGAATTGCACTAAGTACTTTTTATAAAGTGCTTATTTGCAATATTTGAACTTTCTAACTTCTCGCTCCAGACTCCACTTGAGCTAGCCACCAAAATTGGGTCCCATTGTAAAACTATGCTGTGACAGATAGCAGTGCCAAGCCCTTACCCGTTAAGTGGTTAAATAGGGACAGTCATTAACATGGCAGTTCAAGTGGGTGAGGCAGTTATGCCTGCTTTCAACAAAGGACACAGTGTTAGTGCAAAGCACTTGAAATTACATGCATGAAAACATGCTGCTCTTAATGTCACGGTGTGTTAAGTATTTAAAAACAAGGGTTAAATACAAGGCCATACCAAGTGGATGTGATGTTAGCACTCTAGTGTTGCTTCTGTGCATAAGTCCATTTCATCCTCACAGTATTTAAAAAACCCTTTCCTGTAAACACAATAATTAAACATTTCATAACCTTTTAGTATGTTTAATCAATGAAGTAAGTCATGAAATGAGCTGTAAAACGACTATAATTCAGAAAAATATTTGAAAATAAAAACTAAAATAGGCCCAGCTTTAGGAAAAGTAATATTTTTTTACAAACATTCTACTGTACATTTATATACAGAATGTTAAGTCTATCAATAAGTAAAGCAATTTTTATTTGAAGCCTTGATGTTGAATGGATATAACAATGCTGAAAGTAACATAGCTTGTCTTCATTTTAAATCAGCAAGTCTTTGGCAAAATCATCCTCCAGTCTTGCATTGAGATAACAATATTTCATCATTGTACCTGGATATAGCTATTCTCCCTGCCTGACGTTTCTTAATTGCAGCTTTCAATAACTCTCCAATAGCTCCAACACATTTTTAGGCCCCTTTCTCGTGGACTGTCTGAAAACCTGAGAAATGGACCCAATTGGATCCTCCATTTTCCACTAGGGGCAGTGTCTTGTAAAAAGACTTGTGTACGTTTAAGTGGAAAATACAAATTCTCCTGCGCTTAGGAATGGACTCTATGTCATAGGGATCACACAACGAATGTCTTGGAATATGTACGCCTTGCTGCCCTCAAAGAACTGGGGAGTCCAAAAGTACTAATAGAGAAAAACAAAACAGAGGGCGCACCAGCCTTGTGCATTACCTTTAAAAGTATGTTTATTAAATTTAAAAGAAGGTATTCTACTCACAAAAGTACATGAATATAAGCACATCATATGAGACCGCTCTCTCCAATTTCACACTGCGTTTCTGAATGGTGATGAGAATGATGGACATCCAAAATGCCTGACGCGTTTCCAGGACTAGCCTCTTCCTCAGAGCCTAACTACCTAGATGTCTGTCCCTCTCTTATATATGCTCAACAATGTTAACCAGGGGCCATCCCACGGACCTCCAGGGGCGGAGAGCAATAGAATGGGAGGTGCTGACATACTATATCCATACAATAACTGCAATGAAATGAGCACATCAAATCCACATATAGGAAATGCAAACATCTCTATCTGAATAGATGGATGTCACTGATTGATAGATCCATATAAAAATCTATATCCACAACATATACAAGGCATAATAACCATAGGTGCTACAGATGTCAGTGTACTTTTATCCATTGTATATGGCATCTAATATATAGATAGTGAAAACATCATGGCATTAAAATAAAGATAAAAATATTCTCATCACCATTCAAAAGCGCAGTGTGAATTGGACAGAGCAGTCTCATATGATGTGCTTATATTCATGTACTTTTGTGAGTAGAATACCTTCTCTTAAATTTAATAAACATACTTTTAAAGGTAATGCACAAGGCTGGTGCGCCCTCTGTTTTGTTTTTCTCTACCTCCAATCCCATCCGGCAGAAGCAAACAGAAGTGGGATTTGTTCCCCTCCATCTGGCCAGATCAGATCAAAGGGCAGTCGGGTGTAAAATGACAGCTGGTCCATTTACATCTGACTGCCCACAGAGCAGAGCAAGCTCTGTCCGTGTCTGCTCTGCATAAGTAGAGTGGACATCGACCTGTCATCAGGCTGCTCCGCTCAGCTCGGCAGGAGATCCAGCCCGTGTGAAAGGGTCCTTACCTCATGATTGGGCTGTTTAGGAGCTTGCCAGCTGATTCCTGATGCTTTAAAGGATGCAATTATTAGTAATTCCTTGGCCAATTACTGTAATTTATTTTAAAGCAGTGCTCTGCTCTTGGGTAAGGTTTGAGCTATATCAATATAAAACAAAGGGAAACATATGCCAAAGAGGATCCTTAATTGTGCTAAAACCACCACTGACACTTAAGTTGGCCATACAGGGAGCAACCAGGTGTATAGGGATGAAACAGTCAAAATTCCCTCCATTGGTGACTCCGTTGACACCCTCCTACCTGACATCCTTCAGTTGTCAGCTGAACAGTGTATGCATCCAATCATGCAATTTTGTCTGCCGGAAACACAATAGCTGCAAAAGGAGATTCATCCATCTGCACTGGATGGAGGAAGGAATGAAGGAATCTGTTTGCATTTTTATTCATTCAGCTTGCAGGCTGAACGAAAAAATGTATATAGCCAGCTTTATACTTACCTAATTCTGGTGACACTGGTGCAACGCACTTTGGCAGTTTTAAAAGCAGAATTTTTGATAGATAAGACTGGTCAATAAAAGCAGTTGAACTGTGTATTAAGCTGTTTGCCTTTCAGCTCTAAACTAGTGATGGGCTGAACACCCCCATGGTCGGATCGCGGTCGGACATTCGAACCTAATGAACGTTCAACCGCAAACTTTGAACTCATTGCAAGTCTATTCGACTCAAACTTGCAAATTCAAAAGTGCCCTTTTTTAAGGCTTATATGCAAGTCATTGGCCATAAAAGAAGTATGGGGACT